CAGACTGTGTGCCCATTTATGACCTGCACAAGTGTAATTACAGTCATACACTTGGCACATAATCCTCATTACTTCTGTTCTGATATGCATTAACAATGGTGAAATATGTGGGATTGGCCTCAGATGAGAAATGTGAAAGAAAGCAAGTGCCACAAATCACAGTGAACTTGAGAAAGCCTCCAACACACATGGAATCTAGCTACCGCTTCAGTGCCCTGCTCAAACCAAAGGCTCTGGCAGCAATGTATTTACAGAGACTTTTCCCACTGGGTAAACTGAAGGAAGCTGTTCCCATTGGAATGGGGAAGACGAGCAAAGAAGTCTCACGAAAAAAGAGCTTCTGTTTCATTTCAAAGTTCATAAGCGGTGTGTGTTTGGGGAACAAAAGGAGAACTGCCTGATACAGAGCATCCTTTTGGAGGAGACTGTGGGAGGTGAGTCATGTTTTGAGGCTTCATAGGGTCTTTGTACACTGAGAAACACAGGATTTGCTCTTCCCTGTTGGCGGTGGAAATGGCAGAAAGCATTTGAACACAGCTACATCTATGTCGTTTGCTTTTGATAAGAGAACATCTAAGCGAGCCTGTAGGAACAACCACAATATGGGTAAAGGGAATAAGGAAGAATTCAAGCAGAGGATGCTTAGAAAGTTTTTGCCCAATATGCACAATCTCTCTGTGTACCCCGGGACTTGGCACAACCCTGGCTCCAAGCTATGCTGCTCACAAGTCTTCCCATGGGAAGACTATTCTGTATTCCAGCTGATGGGCACTGGTAGGGACTGCTTCTTGAGATGAATGCTTAAAACTATACCATTCCATCATCACATGGGTGGCAGGCATGGATGAGGGGTTGGTAAAGAAAGAACAGACACATCCAACCCTGGAAATCTGGGCTGGCTCACTAGCCTGCCTCCCACCTGCTTTTTGACACTCGGCTTTCCCGCCTTTTCAGGGAGTTGCTTGGTTTTGTGCTATGACTCCTCTGTCCCAGTCTGCCTCTCTGCTGCTAACAAAGGGCTACATCATCCAGTAATTCTCAGGTGATTGAGAGACCTGGCTGTTAATGGGAGGGAGAAGCTTTGTCCTTTTCTGACCTGCTCTCCTAAAGAGTCAGGCGAAAGGAAAACTGTATTTTAATATGAATGAGGGTCTAATTTTGGGGGGGGTTTTTTGTCCTCTTCCTTCCACAAACATGACATCTTGGGTCCAGACAGTGAGCTGTGACCACACTCCAGAGCACAGGCTGTCCGGAGCCAAGTGCTGGGCAAGTACTGAGAGCTGCAGGGCAGGAGTGTTTTCACACACATAAATTGAGGAGTGGTCAATTTTAGGGAAAAAAAAAAAAAAAAAAAAAAAGCAGATGTGTTTGCTTGGGAAAAAAGCCAGACAAGCTTAGCAGAATACAAGGGAGGTATTTCTACCTGCCTTCCCTGACAGAGGATGATGGCTCCCAGGTAAACCTCTGAGAGGCAGTGGGACTCAGGCCATGATTCCCTGTTCACTAACACGAAGCCTGCAGCCTGGCACCTTGCTGAGCCCCAGGAACATAAGCAGAATGACAAAGCGACACTCAGTGACAGCTCACAGTATTAACCAAAACACAGATGAGCCAGGTTTAAGCTAGCTACAGGAGAGCAGAAGAGCACTTAATCTCCATAAAATTTGAAACAAGCTCTAGCGGTGTAAAATTAAGCTGCTGATTAAAAAGAGTTTAGCAATGCTCTGAGGTAGGAACCCACAGCATTTCTGACACAGCGGAAGGAGCTTCAGAGCTGAATTTACAGTATCAGCCAGCTGCTGCTTCCCCAGCTCCACTCTATGTAAATTGGTGTTTTCATCCCTTCGGTGCGAGGTTGAACTCCAGCCCTCTGAAGGTAGTGACCCTACTGACACTGCTGGGGGATCCCCTTTAGGTGAACTTGCTGGATGAAAACATCTTCCAGGCACGGTCCTGTCTCACCTGTGCTTAGGCCAAGAGGCCAAGGCTGCTTTTACACGTGAGCTTCTAGCTCTGTTGGTGAAGGACTATGGAAATGGCTTGTTAAGGCATGCTGCAGCCAGGTGAGTGATTACATTCACTTCCATTCACTTCATGAGCCAGCTTATGCTTACTCACCTGACTAATGCTCCACTGTATTAGGCTTATAATGAATTGAGAACTGCAAAAGGGAGAGTGGGACATAAGCTTGGGCCAAAAAGACCGAAATTGCTGCTGCCATCTGGTCCTGTTGAGAGGAACAGGACTAAACTAGAACTGGCCCATGTTGCTGTTCCAGATGAAAACAGCTACAAAAGAAACATGAGTTGATACTTGCATCTGCTCTATGAGTCATTCCCAACAAGTATTTTTTAAAAAGAACATCGATTCTAGATATTCATGAGTTCCAATTTGCAGTCTTATGGTCCCACAGGGCAGATGTCCCAGACCTAGCATCCTGAGGAGCGTCTCAAACATCTACATCTTGCTTCCCATAGCATTCTCTGTGCCTGTATGACTTCTGGATTTACCTTCCCAAGATGTTTTTATGTATATAATTTATTTAGGGGGGAAATAACTGGATTTCTTTTCCTAAATAAATTCTGACTTTAAATAGTATGGTTGTATACAATCACACAAGTCTTGTTTCACAAAAGATATGTTTGGTCACCTGATTAGAGGTATGGTTGGAGAGAGGGAGAAAATTATCCTCACTGTAAATGAATATACAGAAAATAAAAGAGATTTGGTGGTTAAAGCATAAATCCAAAGGGAATGGCAGACAAGTGAGATGACAAAAATCAATATATGGGCAAAGACATACAAAAAGAAAAAGGAAAGGGGAAATGAAATCAGTTCCATTCACACTACAAAGCAGGTCTGTCTCTGAGATGGAATCTGATCTCTATATGAAAACCAATCCACATATGAAAATTGCAAACTATGAGCTGTTCTGCTGAGGTTCCAAACACACACACACAGAGACAATTCGCCGAAGGAGGATTTGCTGGCCTAGACTGTGCTACTTTGGCTGTAAAACCCTAATCCCTCTGCCATGGATGTCCCTCGAAGCCATGTTCCCTCCAATAACTCAGGGGTTCCTGCAAGCTTGTGAGGGGACAGGCAGTGCCCCCCGGAGCCCACCAGGCATCAGGGTCTCCAGCCAGGTGCCCCTGCCTGTGGTATGATATCAGTACAGAAAATCATTTTGCCTGCTGCGTGCTGTAGAGGCAGAGACGGGGAACCTCTTAAATTGTCATTGCCAAGAAGCAACCAAATGTAAGGGCTTTGGTTTGTAGACACAGTTTCCCCACCCTGCAACCCTGTGTTTTCCTCCATCTTTGCAACGGGCTGGTTCTGGTGAACTCAGAGAGTCCCCTTGGGGAACGTGCGTGTCCCAGGACAGCCCTGTCCACGGGGGACTGTGGGGACTGGCAGCCCTCACCCCCACAACAGATGGCACAATGGCTTCTCGCCCGTGGGGGACTCCCTTTCTGTGCGTGTGTATCGGCTGGGCTGACAGCAACAAGCCAGCGACCTGCCCAAAACCCAGAGCCCAGGATCTGCGAGGGCAGGGGGAGCACCCCGGGGCAGCAGGCAGCACCCTGGCTTTGGGGCTAGAAGCAAGCTCTGACTCTAGCTCTGTATTTCATCCCACTTGCCCGACGACTATAATCACTTTCCCCCACGTTCCTAATCATCTCTCCATCTGGATCCTGTCCAGATTCTAACTGAGAAACGAAATCACTGTTAATTAGGAGGTGATCAAAGGTGGGCCTGCCAAGGACTCATCCAGGCACGCAGCACCCCACTGTTACCCTGCAGGGGTTGGCTCAGGGCACCAGCTGGAGCTTGTTTCCCATCATGACTCAAGCGGGGAGGGGATACAGGGAAGTCAAGGGAGGCCCCTCTCTGTCATCTCCAAAAAATATTTACCAGTGTGACAGGTCAGTAGCTATTGCCCTGCCTTTGTACACCGGTAGGTGCCTGTGTCTTGTTTCCTTGCACTGGGGTAGGTGGGAAATTTGCTTTATGTGTCATAGGCCCTCGTTTCTACTTCTTCCAGATTTTGTAAATCCTGGGCTGTGAGATCCTCCCAACAAGCTTTTCATTTCCTTAGTGGAAGCGGCAATAGTTGGGAAGGCGGGGAAGGAGTTTATCTTCCTCAGGTAGACTATAGGCTCTGGCTGCTAATCCTTGAGATCTGTAAGGTTCTTTAGCAGAAAACAGCTCTCGTTTTCTCTGGAATCTGACCGGGTGATTCACACCTCCCGGTCACGTAGCAATAATAAACCCTTTTTTTTTTTTTTTAAAAAAGAAAAAAAAGTTATCACTTTTTGCAAAAGAAAAAAAGAAAAAAAAAATGTCAAATGGCCGAGGAAAGAAGCTTCAAAAAAAGGTGAAGTACCATTTTTCTGTGCCCCTGCAAAACAGGACTGCCTGTCCCAGCCTTGGGCTAGCCGCTGGAGAAGCAGCTTACTTTCCTTTGAGCCCCCTCCCCCGAAACACAGACCCCGCTCTGCAGCGCCGTCCCCCCCGCGCCCGGGCCGTGTTCACTTGCGGGGGGGGGGGCGTGGGGGGTGGAAGGTTTATCTGTTTGCAGGGACGGTTGTGATCTGCAATGCAGACACGCAGCGCCTCCGCATGCCCCGGGGCAGGCTCCCAGTTCCCGTCCATTCTTTGCATTTGGGTGGGGGCCGGTAAGGAGGCGGAGGTGGGGAGAAAAAGTGTTAAACGGGAGGGTGTCTGCCCAGCCCCGTTTAACTCACCAGGCGGTTCTGCTCGGGCCGCCTGGCCCTGAGGGGGAAACAAGGCTCCTGCCCCCCCCAGCAGGGACGAGCCTGTGGGCAGCAACGGCCTGACCCCCGCCGCGACACCTGGGAGGCGAATTGGGAACCGAGGCCTGGTGTCCCAGCCCTCCCCCACTCCCTGAATACCCCCCCCCCAAAGCCCCTCCCCTCCAATCAACGGACCTTTAACATGACAATGGCCGTGACAATCCCTTCTGGCCGTGGCCGGGCTGAGGAGGACATAAAGCATCCCCCCACCTCCGCCTAATGGGGTGCCTGCCCGCAGCCTCTGCCCTCAGCTCGCTGCCTGCTCGGGGGTGGGGGGGGCCCAGCCCGGTCATGAGCGCCCACCTGGCCATGCCGCCCTACCTGCCCTACCCCGGCGCGGTCAGGTACGGGGACTACTTCTGGCCCTCCCCGGGGAGCGCGGACGCCGTGCCCGCCGGAGAGGCCCCGCCGGCGGACGCCCTGCCCTTCCCCGCGGCGGAGAAGGCGCCCAGCCAGCCAGGTACGCGCCCCGGCGCGGCTGACCCTGCGGGAGCCATCGGGCCGGCCTCGGCTTGGGGGGGGGGGGGGGGGCTGTGTCCTTCTTGCGTCCCTCCCGTCCCGGGGAGCGGGGGGGGGCGATGCCGGTGCTGCCGGCGCTCCCCCCCCCCCGCCCCACGCCAGGGTGCGACGGGCGCTGCTGCGCCGGGGGCCCCGGTGGAAGCGCCGGGCGCGGGTGGGAGCGGGCCCTGCGCGGCCCCTGTGTCCCGGCGGGACGGGACGGGACGGGACGGAGGTGCGAACGGAGAGGGGTCCCGGTTCCGCTGCCCCGGGGGTGCCGGTGCCCGCTTCTCCGTGCTACGTTTCCTGCGGCTGTGGAGCCCCTGCAAGTCCCCAGGGCAACGGCGGTCTTAAAATTCTCCCAAGAAGCTGGACTTCGAAGTCTTGGGAGTATTTTCCACCCTGACCCTGTTCACTACAGTTCTCTCTTTTTTTTTTTTTTTTTTTTTTTTTTTTCTTCTCAGATGTCTCTCCGGCTTCCTCCAGCTCTGGGACACTCATCCAGTACACTCCCGACTCTGCCACTAGCCCCACCGCAGAGCGCCCATCTCCCCATCCTTCTTTCCAGAAGGTCAAGGAGGAAGGCGAGGGTGTGGTGAGGAAGGCCAAGAGCCGCACAGCCTTCTCCCAAGAGCAGCTGCAAATCCTACACCAGCGATTCCAGAGCCAGAAGTACCTCAGCCCCCAGCAGATCCGGGAGCTGGCTGCTGCCCTGGGGCTCACCTACAAGCAGGTGAACATATTGCTCTGACCAGTTGAGTCACATCCCTGGGGTGAAGTGGTAATGCGAGCAGATTTTTTTGGGGTGGTTTTTCTTCTTTCTTAGACCCCTGAGACGAGTTTCTTTCGTGGTCTCGTTTATGCCGTTGCTTATGTGAGAGAGCACAGAGTGTGAAAACTTATGACTCAGTCTTCCTCTTATGTTTGCTTCCAGCACTATCCACCCACTCCCTACAGGTGTTTGAAAGTGCATACAGAGCAGGGCTTTGCAGCGTCAAGATTACTGTTCTGTGTGGACACGTGCTGTCTCTGAATGTGAAAAGTCAGATACTGGCACTGCTTTGCTAGTTGCCTTTCTTAGAGTGGCACCTGGGTCTCTCCCTAGGGAAAGGGTTCTTGCCCTGCCCGTGTCTGACTAAAGGAATGACTCACTCCTGAGGCAGCTCTGATCCTGGCACGGCAGTGAGGTGCTGTTCCTGTACAAGCTGCATTTCTGCAGCTGTCTTGACCTGTCTTTCAGGTAGGGTTTTTGATGTCGTGAAAGATCCCATAGTGATCTGAGGAGCAAGAGTGTTAGTTTTCATGTTTCAGGTCTATGATTCCATGCCTAGCTGGGTCTGCTGCATATTGTTAACGGCTGAAATTATGTACAGTATTAGAAGCCAAGCAGAAACTGGATAATGCCCTATGTCTTTTCTCTATCACTTATAGGTGAAAACATGGTTTCAGAATCAACGGATGAAGTTTAAACGTTGCCAGAAGGAGAGCCAGTGGGTGGATAAGGGGGTGTATCTACCACAGGTGAGAGAATTCCCCCCCTTGCCCCATCACCACCAGTCACAGTTCCTCCAGTTTGTGGGCAGAAGTGCATCATGTCCAACCTGCTAATTCTAACAATGCACAAGACTGTTTCTTGTAATAAGGCTTACAGTGGCATCTATTTTAAACCTGCCCTGGCACCAAAAGAGCTTTGTCTCCAGTCCACTTATCTCACATGAGACTGAAAACAAAATAGCCAAAGAGGGCCAGCAAAGCTATTCATGCTTTTTTTTTTTTTCCCCCAGCACGGTGCTCCCATATATGCTGAGTTGGAGGTGACTGACTTAAGATCTTGTCATCTCTGGTATTATTAGTCTATAGTAAGGACAATGAGTATGAAAAAGATACTGTTGTTTGGCTTGGGGCAGGGGGTGGGGGAGAAAGGAGGACCCGTCCAAAAGACTGGGCACAGTTGGTGTGGCACGCTGCGTTACTGAACAGCCTTCTCTGTCTCTCCTAGAATGGGTTTCATCAGACTGCGTACCTGGATATAACCTCCACGTTTCACCAGGGCTTCCCTGTTGGTGCCAGCAGAAACCTTCAGGCTGTGACCAACATGCACCAGCCTTACGGCAGCGGCCAGACTTACGGGAGTGGGCAGAGCCTGTACTCGTTCATGGCTGTGGAGGATGAGGGGTTCTTTGGAAAAGGTGGGACAAGCTACAATACCCAGCAGGCCATGGGTTTATTAAGCCAGCAGATGAACTTCTATCACGGCTACCCTGCCGACATGGATTATGTCAACCTGGAGTCAGAAGACACCTACAGCTTTCAGAGCACCTCTGACAGTGCCATGCTGTTCTCAAGCTCTCCTGTACGGCACCAGTACCAGGCCCCCTGGCATCCCCTGGGTGGCTATGACTCTTAGGTCTGAAGTATTTTTTTTTTCTTCCTTCTGTTTTCTCTCATGGGGTTTCTAGGGTCTTGACTCAGGGATCCAGTTTCTATTCCTTTCCCTTGCCCTTCCTCCCCATCTCCTGTTTTAACCGTTGGTGGGGCTCAGTACCCTGCTGCCTTGAGCTAGTTTTCTGTTTAAAGGCACCTGCTGTCTGTTCACAGCTAACCCTTGGCAGGGGTGGTTTGTGTGTGGATAGACTAAACTTAATTCATGGAGAGGAATGTGCAATGCCACAGCCAGGAGCAGCAGGGGTGGTAAAGGTCTGTATTTGCTATCCCAAGTCCGCTGCCTCTATAGCAGGTGATTTCTAATCCCTGCCTTTGTGTGTCTTGCAGCAGACCTTTGCTGGAGAAGAAAAGTCTGTACTTCAGCATAATTCTGCTAGAAATACCCTGTTGTAGTCCAGAACCTTTCCTGCTGTCTTGCTTACTTTTGCTACCTCAGTTAGCTAATTGCTAACTCTTCATCTGCATTGTCTCCTCCCTCACTGAAAAGCTATGTGAGATCATCAGATTTCAGATGACTTGATCCAGTTACTTTCAGCAACTCCTCCTGGAGGGGTCAGCGCCCGTCTGCCCCATGCCTGTGGTCCTCCTGAGTACACAGGGCAGTTCAGAGGGGAGAAAGTGCAGTAGAGTATTGTCCATATCTTACATGGAAACTTCAGTTTCCAAAGCTGCTAACCTACCTTGTGCCTCTTGGCTCATTCAGGATGGTGTCTCTGGAACTGTCTCCACGCAGTTTAGATCTTGCCTTTCTACATCTATCTGCCGAGAGACTGTTTGCTTGTCCCAACCTGTGAGTTGCAGCAGAGGGTAGCCCAGGGTGCCACTGTTGGAAGTGTGAGGAGTGTCTGCGTGTAGTCATCTTTGGAGTGGTGAGAACAGTCTGCTTATCCATACGTGATGGTCCCATAGCACTTCACAAACACAGCACTGCTACAGTGCAGCTTTCTCTGGGGTAGAAGCACACAGCTAAGTAAAGGACTTTGTTATTTTACAGGTGATGTTTAAAGTCACTTATCCTGGAACCTGGATGTTGCAAGTGGGGAGTCCTGGTGGGTCCCAGCGGAATTGTCATAAGGGCCTAGAGCAGGATGGTTCCCCACGCTTGTCTAATCTCAGTGTTAAGAGTGTAAACTCGTAGGATTTTGGTCCCTTCCCCAGGGCCTTGTTGAATCTCTTGTTATTCTGCTGAAAAGGGCACTGGGTGCCTCATCTGACATAAGTACCCAAGCTCTAGGGGAGGAGAAAGTTTGGAGAAACCTAGTTCGATAAAATGAGGAAAATACTAATTAAAGCTTTCCATTTCATTTTTTAAAATAATTGAATCATCCTTTCCAGTATGGAGAAACCAAAAGTCAGTTCCAATTTATGTGAAGTTTATCTTTTTACAAGATGTGGAATTGCAGAGTCTGGTCTGCCACTGTCCAAGAATACAAAATGGCGTGAGCCGGCAAGAGTAAATGGGATGGTAAAAGCATAAATATTTCTGTGGTTAGTGCACAATTTTTACTGCAGTCTTGTCTTCAAATATTTGCACAAGGGGTTGTGCAAAGGAGGCAAATGTGTTGTTCCAGAATAGTTTTTCATAGTGTGCATGTTTTATACTATGTTCATGTTGTCTTTTATGACTTTGTTTCTGTTTAATGTTCTTACAAATTTGTTTGAATTTAAATAAATTACTTTATTTTAATGTTGAAGCAGCGTTGCTAGCTTGCATATGAACTGCCTGCTACAAGAATGGTTAATCTGCAGAGGTTAGACCAGCAGTACTGAGCAAAGGAGGAAAAAAGTAACCGTACTGTGTTTCTCCCAGAAGTGGGATCAAGCACCTGCTTAAAAAGGAGTAGGTCACAAGTCCATCAGGCCTGTTTTTAACATGCAGGTGTGTTTGCCTAGTGCTCAGGACAGGCTCCAGGAGTGGGCAACTGTAGGGCTAGCTGCTGGCTTGCAGGAATGCGTAGCCCCATAACATGTTTGTATTAGTCCTTAGACCGCAATACTTGAAAATAACTATTTCATTTTCAGGGTAGGAGCAAAAGAAAGTGTCCTTTGAGTCTGTGGCCAACTGCAGCTGCCTCAGAGGATCACATTGAGGCTACAGCTCTCTTGGGGTTCTTGTGGTACCCTCAAATGGCAGCAGAAGTTTGTGCATAGGTAACTGATTCCTGCCTTCAGCACTGAAACAAAAACTTACTTCCCTACTTTGCCCCAAGACTGCCTTTGTCTCCTGTTAGCAGCTGGGAGCAACATTTAAAAGGTACTGAAACACTTGAGGCAGACACATTGGGACTGAAGCAGTGCATCAGCAGACACCAATTTAAAGACTCCATGAGCCTCTCTGCTCAGTGAGCTTTGGTTCATCAGACCCTTGCTTTCCTTATATCCATGTTAGTTTGAACACCTGTGTAACTTGCATGCAGCCAAGGGCTGCAAGTGCCCATGGGCAGCAGCACTAAGGGAACAAGGTGGCTGGCTGTTCAATCGCTGATGCTACTGCTCTATCAGCAGAACCAAGCTCCTATTAATACTCATAGTTTAAACTAGCAAAAATAATCTGTTTGGGTTTAATCCCAGGCTCTTTACACTACAGTATGCCACTAACGCTTTTCATCTGTCTGAAAGGGGTGTTCAGTAGATACTGAGCACAGTTAGCTAAACTGACAGGTGACTGTTCAGGCTCAAACTGTCACAGGCCCTTTAACCAGAATCTGCTTGTGTGGGTGCCAAAGCATGTCCACTTTCCTTTTGCAATACTGCTCAGCTTCTGAGGGTGAGGTGGAGTAAGTGCAGGAAAGAGAGGGAGTGAAAGTTTGAGCCTGTAGAGGAGGAAGAAAGGCTAAGTTGCCCATGTGTGGACTGCCAACCTTCAGCAGCTGAAAAAGGTAAATCTGGCCTGGAAGAGGGGGAAATTCCAGGTTCGTGGTATTTCCTGTATTACAGAAGAGAGATCTTTTTTCATCCTGGCCTGAGACTCGTGTCCCAACATGAGTTTGGATGAATTCTGGGTAATGCTCTGGTAGTAGTGTTAATTTCAACAATTCTTTTGAAAAAACAAAGCTGAACTGTGTATCTATAAAAGTCATAGATACTAAAGTCTTGCCTTTCAGCTTTAAAATTAGAAGCTTTTTTTTTTTTTTTTTTTTTTAATGCAGACTTAAATTCAAATATACAAGGTGTATAGCCATTTCCAGAATGATTGCATAGGATGCTTGCTATAGATTGCCTGTGTTGCTTGGGTGTGTTTCTCTCCCATGTTTCTGCCTATAGGGTAAGGATGTAGCCAGAGCTCTGCTGGTGTCTCTCCTACAGAAACAGATATTGTTGCTAAAATAGCCCTGGGGCTGAGCTCTGCCTGCTGTGGGTTTTGTTACTGCATTTACCATGAGAGCGTTCTGCAGAAATAGAGGGTTCCTTCACGGGTGTGTGACTCCCCTGGTTGTTCTGGCTGGGTTGCATGAAGGTTTGGCAAGCACACGTAGTTGTAGGGCTGGAGGGAACATGCAGAGTGGCTGTTGGAATTTTGGCAGGTGGGCTGGAAAGGACTGCTAGGAGCTCAGGAAGAGTTTCTAGAAGCTATGGAATTAAGCAGGACTCTGCTTTTCCACAGTGCTGGAGCTCTCTGTTACCTTGACATTCCTGAGTCACATCACCATGTGAAACAGATGCACAGGTAGTTGCAGCACTACTACCAAAACTGGTGCAACTAATCCCTCCAGACACATACTTCCAAAGGGGTTTATATCAGTTCCTCAGAGGCAGTAAGTGCATGTCAGCAAAAGCCCTTTCTGTTGGGATACATTACATCTCTGTTAGGACTGCTGCTTCTTGTGACTGTGCTGTGTAACAGTGATTTCTGCACATTGCAAACTTGATTTTCCTTGCCAGGAAATCTTTTTAGGATTAAGCTGTAAACCCATATGGAGCTCTTTATATGTTTTATAGTTTCTGTGAATACACTACACTTTCACAGTACCTCTGCACTGTCAAGACTCCAGTTTGTCAATGCTGCAGGTATATTTCCAGTAATGCAGAGAATAAACAGAGGAAATAAGATCTAGTACAGACTGTGTAGACCAGGGTTTATTCTCTAGTTAACTGGGTCCCAGTGTTTGCTGTCCCATAGGCAAAATACCAAGCAAGTACAGTGGTGCAAGCAACTTCATTCTTTGCTCTCTGTGTCAACATGTCCTGCACTGGTGTTTTACAAGCTACGTGTTTCTTCTGAGTGGCCCATGAGCAAGGGCTCACGCTCGTTGTCTCTACAGTGCAGATAAAAGGCATGATCTTTACTTTAACAGGCTCTTCCCTATAGACATGTGTAAACGTTATATTTAGTTATCTAACTACTCTGCATGACTCAAATGCTGAGCTAACAGGGTTTTGGAAATTTTCAGTAAAGTATTACCACACATCTCTTGCTTGGCCAATAATCAGAGGCCAACAGCCATTGGCTGATTCTGAGCAGTCAAGAGGCATGAAGGAACCAAAATCACGATATTGGTCTTAGACAGAAAAAAAAAAAAAAAGAAAAAAAGAAAAAAAGTTTTTCCTTTCCTGTGAGATCCATGTTGTTTTTATGCTGTCCACAAATTTGAAAAGCACCCTCAGATCATATCTGCGAATCTCTTTCATAGCCAGGCTAGAATTAATTTCTTACATTTAATGGAAATCCATCTGCTCACAGACAGGGTGTGTCTCTAGCAGTCTGAATCACTAAATTTTTTACAAATTACTATCAGGACTGCTGCCTTGGGTGAGCCCCAAGCTCCATCCAAGTCATTGCTTAAATACAAGGGAAAAAAACAGAAGAGAAAGCAAGTTCCCAGTGTCCCTCTGTTTGGTGGTGGCTGAAGGACTGCCTATAATAGGAGCTGCATTCCTGCTGTTATTACACAGGGCACTGGAAATGCATCTCCTGGTACAGCAGACATCAATGAACTCCCTTCCTGGAAGTTGCTTACTTGCCTGTGAGAATTGCTGCAGGCTTTCAGTCTCCAGAACCACCTCTGTGGCAATAAGCTCTGTCTTGGAATGATGGCCTCTGACAAATTTTATGGGTCTCTTGAGGAAACTACAAGATTTGGTAGTGTGTGGTAGCCCACTTTTGCTGTGAAGGTGGGGAGGTCATGACTGTTGCTCTTATAGCTAGCATCCTTCTTGCAAGCCAGCTCAGAGACTTCACGGCAAGATCCTGCCTGTCCTGAAGCATCCCTGAAGAAACAGGGACTCGTGTTCCAGAGAATTATTTGTGAGGAGCAGTCACAAGCTCAACTTTTTCACCTATTGCAGCCTTTAATAGGGTGGCATGGAAAGTTTTCAGATGACATACAGGTTAGTAGCAGCACTGTTGGTTCCAAAGGGGTTGAAAAAACTCCTCGCACTCATGTGAGAGCCCTGATATTTGCTGCTACTGTAGTCCATCTTCAGACGTTAACCAGAACCTTTTTGGTTAAGCTAACTCAATCGATGCCCACCCCTCTGATGGCGCAGTGGTTGCAAAAACATGTCTTTCCCAAGCTTAGGTACTTGCTGGGTGAAGGACAGGTGTGTATGGGGCCGTGCTTTAAAATGGATATCCAAAATTATGTGACTTAGAAATCTGCTCTCCAAAAGGCCTTATTTTTCCCCAAATCATGCTGGCCATACAGTTTACAGTATGGCTTTAGAAACAGTGCAGCTGAACAACCAAAGGGTCAAGGAGTGGCTGCGTGAGGGAGCAGGGGTAGGAATAAACAGCTGTGAGGCACAGGGTCATAAACCAGTTTTGCCAACAGGAGACCATGCCTCTTATTACTCCAGTCACATGCATCAATTGCCTTCATTTTATGCTTTTTTTTTCTTTAACAGCAACAACTACTTCATTGCTTTAAGATAAAGTCATTGTCATCATTAAAGAGTGATAGAAAACCTGTGACACGTGGAACTGGTACTCTGTTATTAAATATACCTTGATACACACATCTGGTTTTAGGTACTTAGACACTTATATAGTATTAAATTTAGAAATGACTGTACTTCTATGTTTTAGCCAATCCCAGTATTAAATATTGCTGGTTGCAGGAAATTCTTAAGGTGGGTGGTAGTTACCTCATCCTTTGACTCTAGATATCTGGCATTGCCAAGAGTCACGAAGTTGATCCACTAACACACAGAAAAATCTGTGTTTCTAGTTTCAGAGACAAATCAGTGACAACAATGTCATACGGTTGCTATGGCTATTTATGCTCCATCTGGATTTCATATTGCAGTGCTCTATTATAGTAGAAAAAAAGGTACAGAGAAATACATAATCCATCTTAAAAAATATTGTTTGCCAAATTGTGTGTACTGTTTGGTTTTCTTGAGAGGAGGCACAAAAAGATACAGATTAGAACAAAGGGCTTATTTATTATTTTGATGCTTATATGATCATCTCACCAGCCTTTCTGCAAGTTGTCACATCTCTCTTCACTAAACACTTCATCAATTCTCTACTTTGCTGCTGACCTACAGAACTGCTGATCTAACCATCAGATGGGTGCCTGGCGTGTGACAATAACTTCTCCAACTTCAGTGAATGGTATGTGACCAGCATCTCTCCATACAGCCCACGGCTTCACAGATTATGTATACACAACTGTACAGTGATGTGTATAAATGAGATCCCCAAAGGAATCTGTGCTTCCTGAGACAAGTTACAAGATCCATAATTTAGAAGATCCAGGGGATGATCTAGATAGCCAGATCTTGGGTCTTGCTATGAGGGAACTTGGTTGTGCATGCCAAGAAAGGGGGGAGAGTGTGTGTATGTGTGTGTGTGTGCATGCATGTTTAAGGACATACTGTATGTACACATATCAGCAAAGAGGTATCTGCATGGCTGTGTGTCTGCGTATGCTTGCAGGCACATATTTGGATGCCAAAACAGGTTCCAGCTACGTGATGCCCCTGAGTTGGAGAGCACATGAATAGCAAAAGGAGAAGTGAGAACGACATTTGATTCCGGGCTGCCCTAGTACCCCACATCCACAATGCTTAGGAGTGATAGAGATGGTGGCCAGCAGTGGCTGGGAAAGTAGCCCCCATGGTGGCCGAGTGGTGAAAGTTGCAGCTGTCACCTGTCTTTGTGCCTGGATATTCCACACTGCCAGGACAGCTGTGGTAAAAGTCTACTTTGTGCTGTGCAATGAAGCCCACTGTCTGCTGGACACTGCAGGTGCCCCCGCCTTTACCAAAGACTCCTCCATCCTCGCTGGTCACAATTGTGTAAGTGTTCTGCCCTACTCCATAGTGCTGATGGGGGGGAGGCACAGTTGGGATGCTGCTGGCTGCAGTGATCGGGTAGCCCTTGTGGAATTTGGGGTGCACATCCAGGTAAGTACTTGGCTGGAAGCCACTCTGAAAACGAAAGACAGTGAGTCAGATCACATAGCTTCTCCCCTCGTGTCCAAGGCCTGACATGAACTGGGGCACTGTCCCTTCACATCTCATGTTGTCTCTTGAGCAGCAGCAGTGACATGGAAGGACAAGAACAACCATATCCACCCCCATAGCTCAGGGATAGATACATAATAATATATATATATATATGTATGAGGAAAACAGCTTTTCTCTGGAAGCATTTCAGTGGCACAGTCAGCACATTGCTAGGCTACCCAGAGAACATGGAGGGCCATGCCAAGTCTGTGCCTCTGTGCTGAGCAAGCCAGAAGGCAGGGTACACTGGTATTTGGAATGCTTAAGTTGCCCCCACGGAGGAAATATATCACAGGACTTATCTGCCCAGCTAGAAGGCCCATGCTGAGCCACATGCTGTGTTCTTACTTGCGTGAGGCACTGAGCCCGTTCACTCCACAGGCTATGCTTCTGGCACCTTTTCAGCTTCATCCTCCGGTTCTGGAACCAAGTCTTCACCTGGGTGAGGAAGGGAGAGCAGAGAAAACATCAGCAAAGGAGAGGGAAGAGCGAGTGTTATCAGATTGACAAGCAGGAAGAACCAGGGTGAGAGTGGCCAGATGGCATAGATACATGGGCAGCAGCAGATAAAGGCCTTTCAGAGCTTCCCGGTGTTGTGGCCAAGGGGAGATGCCTGTCTCGCAGCCTCAGCAGGTGGCTAGTGCATCTGCATGGTGGGGGGAGGAGGTGGCATTGTGTCCACCAGACACTCATAGCTGTGACAAGTTGACTCGTTTCAGTCATGGAGATGAAAGACGGGTGGAAATTAGACCCGCCCAGGTCTCTACAAGCCCCCTGCGCTACAGGCAAGCTTCTACGATACCGTTTCTGCACACATATGAGCGGAGAAAGGAGTCTTGCTCCTTGTACCCAGCAGTTCCCAAATTCAAAGCTCCTTGTTGGGGTGAATTGCAGAAGCGTTTCCCCCCAGGGCTGTGTCTGCACTCTGACAACAGCCTTTGCAGGGATGTGGACTGAAGGAAGGAGCAGATTGTCCCACCCGTCTTGTTTTCCTGTGTGTGTGCACGCACCTACAGTGCATATATAACCTTTTTAGTCCTAGGGCATGAAGGGACATCCAGGCCATCAAGCCCAGCTCTCAGGTCGAAATTCCAGGCAGGTTTTGGACTTGTAACTGCAAGCACTTCTGCCTCGTTGCCCAGCCCCCTCTGCTTTAGGAAGGTATCATTTGAGCCAGCACCAGTTTACTACAGACAACCTCCCTGGAGATCAGCAGAGTTCCTGAAGGGCCGCAATGCAAGGACCTAGCAGTACCCACACGGAGCAGGGAGCGGGTGCCAGACAGACAGGCAGTGCTGCTTGTGGGACGTTTTTAGATACTGGACAAGATCAGCCCTGGGAAATATTAGGAATAGCTTTCGGCATGTTGCAGCTCTGGGATTCAGGGAACTGATACGTGCCGGGGTTTCTGTGAAGTTCACCAGTGCAGAGGCAGAGGCTCTCCAGGGTAGAGGCTGTTTGTGGCAAACAACATATTCATCACTGTGTTTCTACTACACAGTGTTGGCATTCTACTCTATTCTACTACAAGTGTTGGCAACAGTACCCTTAACTGACCCCTCACTGAGGAGGCCCCAGCGAGGTGCCACCGACTCTCCTCTACCCCAGAAGTGCTGCTGATCTCCAGGCATGGATAAGCAGGGGAACAACTGTTAGCTGGCACCTTAGCCTCTACTCTCTGCTGGGGACCCATCTTTCCATCCTGTCACCGCCTTATGCGATCATTCAGCCTCTGTGTGACAGATACACCATGGCTCAAAGTCTCCATGTTCACCTGCTTGTAGGTGAGCCCCAGGGCAGCAGCCAGCTCCCGGATCTGCTGGGGGCTGAGGTACTTCTGGCTCTGGAATCGCTGGTGCAGGGTTTGCAGCTGCTCCTTGGAGAAAGCCGTGCGGCTCTTGGCCTTCCTCAGCCCCTCTGTGACATCTTCTCTGTCCTTCTGAGACTTATCTGCACACTGTGGGGACAAGGATGCCGAATGTGGACTGGTGGCTGAATCTGGTGTGAATTGGCTGAAATTCCCAGAACTAGATGAAGCAGGGGATACTTCTAGAAATAAAAAGACAATGGGAAAAGGCATACAAGACATAATGCACAGCTGTGTGGGTATAAGCGTGCTACCGGTCTGCTGTATGTAGAGCTCTCCTTGCCTACCAGACAGGGGATCTCTTGAAGCAAAGGCCTGTGTCACCCTTCTTCCTTCATGGTTCTGTAGGCACAGACAAGCCCACTGACAGCGAGCAGCTTCCCAGCTCAGCCCTCCGGGATGCCCGTGTCTCCCTTTCGCCAGGTGGGGCAGGGAAAGGAGAACGGTGCACGCTGGCTTACAGTGTTACTATCCTCCCAGTAATATTTTGGCCTCAGTGTGGCGTAAAAAGTCCTAGTCATGACTTTGACTTTTTTTTTAGCATAGCTTTGGGTTGGTGACTGGGCTGCCTGAAACTGTTACAATTTACAAATACCCTAATGAAATAGCTTGAATCTTAGAATATTATTTTGATTTTTGGTTATATGAGTGATATAGAGTTACAGTAGTTATGAGAACATAGGATATGTTAAGATCTTAGGAATGAGCAACTAGTATTGTGTTTGCCTCGATTACTGTGGAAATAGTTATGGACTCTGAATTAAAACAATGGGTACCAGAAGAAACTGGCCTTGGTTTGGGAGATCAGCCAAAGGATGAAATGCGCATGCAGAAGGATGGAGTTCAAACAGCAGACACAGTGAGGAAGACTGTTGATGACCACCAGAGGACCCCCGTCCAACATAGCTGCACATGCGTTAGAGACATTTGCATATGATAATGATTTCCAGGAAATATCATGAATATGATAATGATTTCCAGGAAATATCATGAATATGCTAATCACTACCCTCCCCTCTTTGATTTTAATATCAAGGATTACAATCAGTGAGGTTATCGAATGATTACTTAGAATAGAAGTATGGATAAGGTGAGGTAACTGATAAAGCCGATCATTACAAAGATCAAATTAAGAAGTGAGCACTCTATGTGGTTTTGAACCTTATGTAACAATGACTCTGCTAAAAAAGTGTATAAATATGTTGTGCTTTGTGCTTGTTGGTAAACACATCCTTGGTAGAGCTATCCCTCATGTTCCCCAGTGCTGGAATAAAGGAGTGCCTGCTTATCTACTTTGTCTAGGTGAGTTTTCTTCGTGATAGCAACTGCTAACAAAACTGCCTGCCAAGCAATCTCAAGAGACTTGATAGACAGTGGCAAAGCAACCTGTGACCAGGGTGTATGGTGAGCAGTTGATGCTTACAATGATGGGGCAGCAGGTGGAGAGCATCAGTCAGGCCTTGGATGTGGGCTCACTCCTGTTTGCCAGCAGCTCCCCCACCACAGACCATCCCACTGCTGGAGACACATGTATAAATGGAGGGACCTATTTGGCTGACGGAGGCTTTTGGTGAAAGGAGAATGAAGGAGAGAAATTTAACATGGAAGTGGGAAGGGAGAGAGGAAAGGTGGATGTGTGGAACAGGTGAGAAGAACCAGTAATCCTGTACCAGGGGCATGGGGGACAAAATTCAAGAGTGCAGAGGAAGGTGTCCAAGCCCCTACTCATTTGTTTTGGTACATGTCTTAAAGGTTCTCTGTTGAGGACAAAGTAAAGATAAAGATCAAAAGGAAAAACTTCCTAAACAATCTGGGCTGCTAGTCCAGACAAAAGCTGCTAAAATGCAAAATGCAAAGTCATTCAGTCTGCCTGAAAAAGAAAATGCTAACAAGATTACTCCAGCATCTTTGTGTCAGGTGCCTGGTTGCTGGGGTCCGTGAGAGTCTGAGACCTTCTCAGGCCAGCCCTGACTTAAAGGCTGCAATGACAGTCTCTCCCTTTCCCCATAACTGCAAAGATAAATCTGTCCATCCCTCCTTCCTCCAGCTACTCCACTGAAAACCCTTCTTCATGGTCCATCCCCTCTCCTACTGGCGTTTCAGGAGAGCATGTGCGCAGTGAATGAGGCAGTGCCATTTTCAGTACACACCTTCTGCCTACTGAGCTTAACCACTAGCTCCCAATCTCATTCCTAACCACCCGGAGAGCTGTGACTGAAGCCCACTGAGATACCCTCCTCAACCTCCCAAACATATGTCCAATGCAAAGTACTGATGCCCTCCTGAGGAGTGGGCTTCCCATCCACTCTACCAAACCCTTCCTTCTTCTGTCCTAAACTGAGAGGCTACTAAGCAATCACTCAAAATCTTGAGGTGTTGGTGGGCCTCAGAAAGGTGACCGTGTCTGTGGTACCTTTTCCCTTGTTACCCTCCTGAGGGAGGCAAACCTGTCTTTGTGGTGCCTGCCACTCCGGGGTTGACTGCTCTTGCAGGCTTGCTCTTGGCTATTTCCTATCCCTAGGAGATGATAACCACTCAGAGCATGGGCTGTGTGAAGAGGCAGGTGTGTGGTGGGGCAGGTTTCTAGTGCTGGGGAGCAGGGCCATGAAGATTACGAAGGGATTCTGCCTACAAGGAGAAAGGAGCTGTCAACAGAAGAGGTGCAAGGGCCTGAGGTGTTATGTGCATGGGGGTAGACTGCAGAGCCTGAGAGGATGCTGAACATCTGTGACCTGGATGCACAGGAAGATACAATTTCATCTGGATCCAGAGGATGCTTGACTTCTGCAGGCTGTGCAGTAAAAACCTTATAGGTAGGAAATGAGCATGCTGAGAATGTGGGCTGGGAAAGCAGAAAAGTCTTCTGTTACACAGGAACCACAGCAAGACATCATAGAAATAAAGCTGCCACACGTTCTGCTCAGCTTGTCATCCCAAACCCCCATGTAATTTTCCACCTGCATCTTGAGCTCAAGACAAAGGCAGTCCCTCTCCCATGGTAGTGAAGGAAAGAGGAAGCAAGAAACGCAAGCAGCAGCGCAACAGACATAAACGTGAAAACCTAAAGCAGACCCACTCCCACGAGCCCTTGATATCTGTAGGCCTTTGCTTCCATGACTGGGCTCTCTGTAGAGAGAGGCACCAGAGGAAAGTGTCTGAAGATGGGTTTTAAGTCTCTGTACCAGGCACACTGGGGGCATGAATGAGTCGATCTGCCTGCTGCCTCTGTGGAGCAGGCAGCATGCAAAGAACCTAAGCCTTTCCCCAGACAACATGGCAAGTACACCTGTGCCAAGTACCCACTAGTCAGTATGCCCGAGCTTGTAGCTCTCTATAGCATCTGACAGCTTGAAACCATACTCCAAAAGCTCACTCTCCTCCCATCCATTAACCTTACAGGGCTGCTACCCTGATGACCTGCTTTCATCAGCTGTTCCGTTGCCACTCACTAGAGTGGGAGAGGAATGTTAGGAATAGAAAACGCCACCACAGTGGGGCCTGGAACTTTTTTTGCAAAAAGGGAATGGCAAGGCAACAAGAGCATGGAAAGGAGAGGGAAACGGAGAGAGGAAAATGGCAAACTAAAAGAAGCAGAGAGTAACAATGCTGGATTTAAAAGGGAGCAGATTTCCCAGCATAGCGATTCAGAGCATGCCTTGGCTCGAGTTTAATGAGTGAATGAAGGGTGCAAGGAGTTTGTAAGGGGATAAGGGATGCCACAAGCAGAACTACCTTCAGGATTTGTTTCTCTCCATAGCACACATGACACCATTTGACCAAAAGGAGGCCCAGACATTCCTGCCCCGAGAACTATGAAATTTCATGAGACCATGTTGTCACACTGCCCTTCAGCCTGGGTCACAGACCTGACAGTGCCTGGACCCTCGCAGGCCCTATTGGGGTATAGGAATCCGGTTCACAATCAACAAAGAAAAGTAGCACGGAAAGGTGGTGTGACTGCCCAAGGTCACCCATCCGCCTTCCCTACTAGATCACACTTTGCCCAGCTCACACATTAGGAAACTAAGGCAGGGAAAGAGAAAAATTTGCTCAAGGTCTTTAAGCGAGCAGCTGACCCGGGAGCACAGGTATCCTGGAGATCAGTTCTAGGACTGAGCTGAAATGCCTTACCTGCTGTCTGCCTTTTCCCTCCTGCCTCTGGAGACTGACTGGCTTCTGCTGGCCCAGCCGAAGCAGGGGCATGTTCTGCCTCCTCCACCGAGTTCCAGTAAAGCTCCAGGTACCCCATGCCGGTCCTGCTGGGGTAAGCCTGGTAGGGGGGCAGAGCCAACTGTGCACACATGGCAGGCGGGTGAAGGGGTGGTTCCCCCACCTTTTAATAGATGTCACCTTCACTTGGGGGGAAGATCTCACCAGGGAGCTGAGGTAGCCCTGGAGTATAGACAGGCGGTTACCTTTATAGCTGGCTATACCCTGTCTGGGACTGCAATATTCACCATCATCTGCTCCTTGAGGCTCTTTGTCATGTTAAAGAGTCTGACTGGTGGGGTGGGGACAGAGCAGGGTGGAGGGGGGGGATAAAAAGCCACACATGGCATCAGGGCTAAAGTATGTCGCCTCTGAATTCTTCCCATTCTGCAGGTTACTCCTCTGTCACACCTGAGCAGCGGTCTGATCCAGTGCCCCAGGAAGCCTCCTACTGCTTGCTTCTTTGGGCTCAGCTAAAATCGTCCTGTCACAAAATAATCCGGTGAGCACAGATGTCCTGCAGAAGACAGCTGTACACTGCATTGAGAGAACAAATCCCAACCACTCTCCACTACATGGGAGTGGACAGGAGGTAGATCTGGTGCTAAGGTGCCTCAGTACCATGCTGGGCAAACCCAAGCCCTGGCTCCAGGTTATGGGGAGGGTTCTGAGACCTTTTCTTTGTGGCTTGTGTCACATTGACACCCCCCACAACACCCACACAAACGTGCACCACACCCTGCCCACCTGGCAGCACTTCCCACTCTTGGTGCAGATGTCAGAGATGGAGCAAGGGGGAAAAACAAGTAAGACCTGGTGGCTAAAAACTACTTTTTTTTTTTTTTTTTTTTCCCACTGAAAAGGAATTTCCTTTACACAGGCATTTGAAGGAGCCAGATGAGTTTGGCCCATCTTTCACATCTCTGCCAGAGCAAAGTCACAAACACTGGACAAATCACGTCCAATGCCAGATCTCATTTTGCAGAGCAGACTCAAAACCTCAGCTGTCTGGTCTACGGTGGGACAATCAGCAGAGACATTTTCACTATGGAGGTAGGAAAAGATTTAGTGCAGGTAAGGGCCACGGCTAACAGATTTGCTCTCCCGTGGGCTTTCAAAGTCACATCCTTTCATTTGTGTAGTCTTGGCTGTGGCCTTTGCCACTCCGTTTCAGGCCGATTGCACTAAAGAAGATGAAGAGTTTCCTTTAAGGCAGCATTAGCTGATGTTTACTGACATATGGCCCACCCAAGGGAGACAGGCACCTGCAGAGCTATTCATTAAATAGCTAGAGGTAAGTGAATGAGCCACAGAATTCAGCTATGGGCCTGCAGGTTGGTCTGCTCTATGGGCTTGCACCAGTCCCTTCCCTTTAGGAGGTTTTGATCTGCTTGCATTTAGGAAGATTTTATTAGTTTCATCTCAAAAGATGTTGCAAGTCTCTAGCTAATGTCTGTATTTCTTAATGTACAGACAGAAGTCCCAGGGTTAATGAAATATTTCCTGCTTGAACCAGCCTTGCCTTGGCACCAGAACATATGCATGCCTCATGTCAGAAGGTCAGAGCTGAGGGTACAGATCCACAGAAGTGTATAACTATTTAACCTGGACTGTTCCTGCATCCCTATGTGCCTCATTGATCCACAAGTGGTTGTTGCTGCCTTCTTCCCAAGCCTGTGGTAGCACCCAGTACCTACCTGCCCAACAGGCCAGAAAGAGGAACCTGCTTGCTGCGAGAGTACTCAAGTATCATCAGGGAGAAGAAACAGACAGGTGGGGGTGAACAAGACCATAGGAAATGTGATTTAGATCAGTTTAAAAGGATGTAGAACCCCATTTCTATGAGCACTTCTGCTTGCTGCCCTGTGTCCCGTGGCAAGTTACTAGTCCCGGCTTCTCTGTCCATAGACCAGGGGCAACTTGGAGCCTCCTTAGATCTCTGCATTGGAAACCAAAAGGAGCCGCAGGACTGGCCTGTAAGTGAACCTGAAAATCAATGCAGCTTCACTTGAGCCATCATGGGCAGACCATTCAGCTCGCTTGCCACGTCACAGCTTGATTCTGCTGCCTTGGGACCATCCGCTTTCTCATGAGGTACAGACTGGAGGGAACTAAGGGCTTATCAGGGGTCTCTTTAACTTGACACTCAGTATTATGTTTTCTGTTTGCATGAAACACTTCTCTGTGCCTACAAACTGCATGGACTGACATCTCTCTGCACAAGAAATGCAGTTCTAAACATGAAATTAACTTGAAAAACTTGCAGGAAAAAAAAAAGGGGGTTTGAGTACATCTGCCCTGATAGAATCCCAAGAACATCCTGAATATGGCAAGTACTCCGTAGCAGCCTCTAAGTGGTGGTTTTGGCTCAATTCTTACTTCTAAATTGTTTCACATTTCAGAGCTACAGTGCCCCAAGAGCTCAGATCACTGTCCCTCATATCTGCACTCAGGCCCTGGCTGATTAAGCAAAGGGAGAGACACCAATGGATGACATGAACCGCACAGAGCTTGGCACCCTGCCGGGAAGCTGCAGCATCAGGGGTTAAGGAAGAGTCGTGAGCTCCTTCGTATGCGTGTCTGGCCTGTTACTGTGTGTTGGTGTTCAAGTTTTCATGGCCTGAGGTGTAGTTAGAAAATCAAAACAAGACAGCAGACCTGGAGGATATCAGCATATCTTTTAAAACTTTAATCTGAAAACTTGGCAGAAAACGTGTCATGGGTGGCAGTGGGTGTCTGTGTGCTGGCTGGCTGAGCACTTCACACTTGATCTCCTCCATATCAGCTACTTCTGAAGGTGTCTGGGATCTTTCTTGCAAAGTGCCCGGAGGTGTAATAAAGTTGCATAGTCACCTGCACTACAAAGTCCCACTGGGTGGAAACTGGGGAGGAGTATGGTGCTGCCCCTGGGAGCAGAGCCACCTGCCCGACTGGACCGGTGAGTGGGGCAGCACAGAGGGAGTCACCTCCCCGGAGGCAGGAGGGGGGAAGGAGAGGCAGAGGAGCTGAAGGAACCTCAGGGCCTCACCCCCGTGATTTCAGAACAGCACCACCTCCCAGGGAGCAGCTTATCTCTCCTGCACGGCAGGTGATGGCCTGTGGCACAGGCAGCAGCTCCCTAAAACCAGCACTGCAGGCAGCTGACAGATGTGGCTTGGCACCAAACTGAGCCAGACCCTGGTTCTGTGTTATTCCATGCTGGGCCCAAATACTCACTGTTATCTCACAATGGTCACCACAAAAGCCTTCCCAGGCTCACGCTCTTGCTTCAGAGGGCTTTCTAGTATCTTACACAACCTTTATCTGCTCTTCTGTAGCGTGAAGCTGAAAGTGCAACAGTCATAACATTGAAACAGTAGTCTGTAAATGACCAGGTTTCCTCCACAAAGGCAGCAAGGTAGAAAGACTAGTAGTTAGGCCAGGAGGAAAGAGGAAAAATCCTCTTTCTCTGTCCCCATGCTCTCCACGATGTGGTTGTAGCTCATGCTGACGTGCCCAAGATAGCCACAAAGTAGTGAATGCAGGTCCTACTGACAGGGTAACTCCAATGACACGGAAAGCAGAAGAGACTGAAAAACAACCTTGAAAACTGAACTGGGGTTATGGACATCATAAGATGCTCAAGCAGAGAAGAAGGTGGAGAACATGCTCATGAAAATGTTCTCTGTAACTAGGTCCTTTCACTGGCACAGGCCATGTGGTTGTGACAACCTGATTTTCTTAAAACAATCCTTGCTTATCCATGTTTGGTGTCTGCCCCAGTGTCTTGTACACCTTTCATAAGTGACCTCAGCAAAATCATCCTTCCAGGCAACAGCTTTTTATTTGCCTGGGCTTCTACTTTTCACTGGAGTTTTCAGTAATAAATTACCTTACAAACCTCTTCTTTGTCAGTTGCTGCTCTTTTACCCTAAAAGAGGAATCAGACATGGTCAAATGGGAAAGCTCATATCTGGATAAAGACAGTGGACTGACCTGACTCTGAGATGTCTGTGTTCTGGCAAAGTGTCCCATGACAGCTAACACTCAAACAAGTCTTGATGTGTGCAGCGTGGACATAACAGAGCAAGAACTGAAAGTTAAAGCTGACAGCATCCTAAACAGACTTAGATGTTCAGTCACAGCCAGAGCCCTTGTGGTTCACCTCTTCATGGTGTAGCTCTGCCCAGCTGCCTCTTCAGTGAAGGTACAGCCGATGCCACCAACAGGAATATTGCTACATCTGCATTCTTGTATTGTTGGCAAAGCTCTGGCAATGTGGGCTGCAAAAGTTTGTAAGTCCTTATTGGTCCCACTACACCAGGAAGACATCAAGTTTCTTGGAGGCTTGTCCTCACCAAACCCCACTCTGGGGGTGCACGGGGAGCTGCAGGCTCACGTGCTGCTAGCAGCAGAAAAACACCTGCCAACCCTCCGGAGGCTTTCTGGGCCGTACAGCCTCTTTCTGAGACTAGTAATACTGGCAAACAAACATTTTTTTTCTGTCCAAGCTGGCTTTTAAAAAAAAGCATGCTTTTCAGTCCTTGAACTTGCTGAATGTAGTTTTGGTTAAGTATTCCAAAATAATTAATGCCATTGTTTTAAGGAAAAGGCTTTGACAGTATTGTTTTATAGTATTTCTCCTTTCTTTGAAGCTTTAAACAAATGCGCTGCTTTGTTTAAACATTTGCAGGGATTTTGTGATTGACATTGATAGCAATTGCTTAATTGAAAGACATTTTTAAAATCAAAAAAGTGGAAAAGCACTACAATTTGAATAATAGGAAGCAAACTAGCTAGAGCATTTTTACATTGCAACATTCCCACTCTGCTGTCCTTTTAACCACTTAGTTCATCATGTTAATTCTTTAATTGTAACTCAAACTTAAACTTACTTCTCTTAAAGCACCATATTTTTCTCCAAATACTTTTATTTTTTGGTGATTGGACATCTTCTACATTTTCTCTTTGCTTTGTGTGAGACTGTGCTGTAATCTAGTCAGATCCATGTGTTTGCCTGTTCTCACAATGGCCTTGTATTCCTTGCACATACTGTTAATAATTCTGAACCAGAAAGGGAGTTTTTTTCACTCTAACACATACAGTCTTGCTGTG